CTTACGCTCTACTGTCCGGCTGCTGTGCCTTATTCTTCGTACATAAGCAACAATCCACATGGTGGATGCCAACCGGGGTCGACGATTCTTTTGCACACTTGTCTGGCGGCTAAACAAGACAAGGTCAACCTGACGACACATCCACAGTGCCACATGAGAGAGTGTCTGACTATGTCATGTACAACCATGATACGGAAGTGTACACTATTGTCACCACATGTCACCCATAGCTATGCTAGCATAACTTTGGATTTACTGTTTCCAGTGGCATAATGATGCAACACTAGGACACCACTAGAGTGTGCAGCAGAATTCCACTAGAATGAGCAGTAGAATACAACTAGAATGAGCAGTAGGATATTACTAGAATGGGCAGTAGAATGCCAAAACAATGAGCAGTAGAATGCCACTAGAATAAGCAGTAGAATGCTACTAGAACAAGCAGCATGAATGCTACTGGAATGGGCAGTTAAAGCCAAACTCGTTTGAACCACCGTTATATACATACATTGCTTCCTCTGCACCAAAGTTGTTCGAGAAGGTTCGAGGAAGTTCGCTGCCGTCGGATCACCCGGAACAAGTGCATAGGTACCCTACACGCCTTGCTCCCCTTGTGGATATGTGGTTCGATACACTTGTCCTGGGTGGTTCATCTGTAGCGAACTTCATAATCACCCTGCACACCTTGTTTCCCCTGCAAAGGTGTACTTAGAGAAGGTTTGGTGTTGGTAGAGAAGGTTCGGTATAGTCGAACCACCCCAAACGCATGTGAAAGCGGGGTGGTTCGACTGTACCGAACCTTCTCTAACAACACCGAACCTTATCTAACTACATCTTTACAGGGGAAACAAGGTGTGCAGGGTGCTTATGCACTAGTTCGGGGTGGTTCAAGCACATGGAACCTTTTCGAACCTTCTCAAACCACATCATCGCAGAGATAGAAAGGTGTGTAGAGTACTTTCACTATCCCTGTACAAGTGTACATCCTGCTTGGTCCAGAGTAAGATTTGGGCCAGCAGGTATCGGTTGACGATGTGGTTCGAGAAGGTTTGGTACAGTCGAACCACCCTGAACTTATGTATAATAACTCTACACACTTGCTATCTCTGTGATTGTGAAGTTCGAGAAGGTTCGAGAAGGTTCCATGCACTTGAACCATCACGAACTAGTGCATAAGCACCCGGCACACCTTGGTTCCTCTGTAAAGATGTAGTTAGAGAAGGTTCGGTAATGTCGAACCACCCCGAACTCATGTGACAGAACTCTACACACCTTTCGATCTGTGATCAAACCACCCCGAACTCACTCGAAACTGCCCTGTAGGCCTGCTTCCCCCTGCAGCACAGTGGTTTGAGGAGGTTTGGTGTGGTCGAACCACCCCGAACTCACTTGAAACTGTCCTGTTGGCATGCTTCCCCCAGCAGCACAGTGGTTCGAGGAGGTTCGGTGTGGTCGAACCACCTACAACTCACTCGAAACTACCCTGTAGGCATTCTTCCCCAAACAGAAAAGTGGTTCGAGGAGGTTCGGTGTGGTCGAACCACCCTGAACTCATTCAAAATGCCCTGTAGGCCTGCTTCCCCCAGCAGCACAGTGGTTCGAGGAGGTTCAGTGCGGTCGAACCACCTACAACCACTCAACCCTGAGGCATTCTTCCCCAAACAGAAAAGTGGTTCAGGAGGTTCGGTGTGTCGAACCACCCAACTCACTCGAAACTACCCTGTAGGCATTCTTCCCCAAACAGAAAAGTGGTTCGAGGAGGTTCGGTGTGGTCGAACCACCCTGAACTCATTCAAAATGCCCTGTAGGCCTGCTTCCCCCTGCATCACAGTAGTTCGAGGAGGTTCAGTGCGGTCGAACCACCCAGAACTCACTCGAAACTGCCCCATAGGCCTTCTTCCCAATGCATCACATTGGTTCGTTGAGGTTCAGTGTGGTCGAACCACCCCAAACTCACTTGAAACTGCCCTGCAGGCCTGCTTCCCCCTGCATCACAGTGGTTCGAGAAGGTTCGGTACAGTCGAACCACCCAGAACTTATGTATAATAACTCTACACACCTTGCTATCTCTGTAATTATGAAGTTCGAGAAGGTTCGAGAAGGTTCCATGCTCTTGAACCACCACGAACTAGTGCATGGATGGTGTTTGGATTTTACAACCAACACTAAGACTTTATACACTACCTATTACTATCCACACGGGGGTTGAGTTTCAGTCCGAGAGAGAGAGAGACAGAGAGAGAGTGGGAAGTGGGAAATGAGAGGCTCAGAGAGAGAGAGAGAAGAGAGGAGAGAGAGAGGCGTAGACGGACGGTCGGTTGAAATTAGCTCCGCCCTGTGGACCACTCTAGCGGTCTCCTACCCCTTCGCTACAACCCCACATCACCGTGGAATGCAAGGGTATACTCCGAGGAGTCTGTCGGTATAGAGAAAGGCCCACTGCTTTGCTCCAAGACTATCAACCAGCCGAATAACGCCAGCTTCCGTCATGCCAGCTACTCGAGCCAAGTGGCAGAAGTGCGGTCGGTGTTTTAGGCGTCTGGATATGCACCGCCGGGTGAGTGCAACCTGCCACGATGTTCTGCCACGCTGCGCCGGCTACAACAGTTACGACCCCGCCTCCTATGAATATCCTCTCCCTGCCCCGCTCTGTCAATTCAAATTCCATGGAGACGCTACAACATTCCACGCGTACCGCATCAGCTGTTGCTACGTCCCGCCGTCCTGCATCTCCCTCGTCGCCAGCTATGAAAAATAATTGTTATTAGTATCGTAGCAATGAATCTCTATAGAATTAAGGTTTTATATATATATATATATATATATACTTATGAGAGAGTAGGAAGTGGGAAATGAGAGGCTCAGGGAAATGGCAGAGCTTGAAGAGCGGATCATGACCAGGTTCTCCCTTTTTCTTGTAGTTGTCGTTCAGATGGAGAAAACGAAGAATAGAAACGTGAATGTTGCTAATGTGTACATTATATATATGGACATAGCACTTAAGTGGAGCAGTGTGAATGGCCACGAGTACTGCCCAGTAGTTCTCAATCTGAGGGTACCTCACAAGGCCCATGACAATGATGACGGCGAAGAATCTCCTCAGCTCATTGATGTCAAAGAGGCTCTTGGACCAGCATCGAACACTGGAGTGAGGACGGATGTTGTTGTTTGCGATGTATTGCTGCGCATGAAGGTTTGTCTGAGTGACAGCATGTCTTCTGTGATTAGCAGCGAGAAGTAATCAAGTGGTCTGTTTCCTTCCACAGGAACTGCACAACCAGGCTGGAGTGTGTACTCATGGTGTGTGTCGCCATCATCACTGCTTCTCTGTGAACCCACCTCTACATTAGCTCCAACATCCATCATCACTGCAGGCTCCACTGTTTCTGTTGTCTCTCTAGTGTCTACATAGCCGTCGAAGTCATCCTCACTATCACTGCATCATCCAGTTCACCTAGAACATCTTAAACTGAGAGGGTTGCTCTGGTAGCCATAGATAGAGCTGTTCCAGGAGCACAGGGGAGGGGCTAGTTATGGAGAAAACTCGCTGGAAAAAGGGGGAGGGACTGCTTCGTAGATGAAAGCTTGAGACACGCACCAGTCTGTCTTTGCACACAATATGAATATTCAGTAGCTGTAAAGGCAGGCGTCCACTTTCACTCGCATGCATTTTAGCGTGAAACACTATGAGGTAATGCCAGGGCAGTGTCGCACGTAGGCACATAAAGAGACTAGGAGACAGCAAGAGGTGAGTGGCGAGAGAAATAGTCGCTAATGTGAAGTGCTCGCCCTCCTGACAGTACGGCAGAAGGCTTATGCTCATGCCCACAATATGTGCCTGCCGTGCCAAGAGAGGTAACAGCCACAGCAGATCAATGTGGTTAAGTTCAGGAATGTACATATGATAATGTGTTGCAGTGCTGAGAAGAACAGCAAAGGCCCTGCAAGGGTGAATGCTCTCCTGTCTGGGCACTGGCACAAATTGCACATTCAATGAAACACTAACGATTCATGATACATCACTACCAAAGATACAACTTTAAAAAAAAGATCAGCTAATCGTCATCTTCTGAGTGATTGTCTGTGTCTCTCTCATCATTCTTGTTTGTTTGTTTGGGAGGATTTACTTTGTGGTATAAATTTTTTCCAAGTACCTTTCTCTTAGATATTTTCCTTTCCTCCAGTCAACTAGAAGCAAGAGAAAAACCACGAATTGTTACACACATATCGGCAATATCTAGAAGCAATTCAATTGTGTATTCTTGGTTTTTCAATATCCTGAGAAATGGCAAATCACCATCATCTGTAATTCCTTGAATCACAGATTGCTTGATACATGTAGATTCATTGCTATACTGACGTGGTAATTTCCGATTTTTTGTCATTCACTGGAAACAATCCTCCATGATCGATTTCGAATTCATTCACTTGTACATTTTGTGTAATTATGTTTCATCATCAGCAAAAACCATATTAGCACTCTTCCAAACTGTGCAGCTTCTTTCTCACACTTCTTCAGAAGTTTCATTGCACCACTAGCATAGCGTGCCGCTACCATTGTGAAGTCTCACCTCTGCTATGCGTGACGACGAACGTATGGTATACCACACACGTACACAAATCACACCCCGCCATCCTCGCACGCATGCATAGAAGAGCGTGACGGACAAATATACACTGACCGAGCGTGTGATGTGAAATTAGGTGCCTCGCGCTATAAAAAATCCTACAGATGGGTATTGGTAATGACCATTAGTTAGTTGAGTTAAGAGGCTTGCATCTGTGAGCTCCTCAGACACCATCCCTATCTTACCTTGTTTCCTATTCCTATATGCCCCCTTTATTAATCTGTAGGATTTCTATTTATTTGTATACCTTACAATATAGAGGGTTGGGGCAATACTATGTGCATGCACGCTTACATTACACTGGTTCACCGTACACAGTAAAGCTGTCCTAAACATATTTTTGATAAAAACACATATGCTTCAGACATGTACCGGGCATGTGGTCTCCAAATCCCAGTTGTCCATAGTAGATTCCAGCACCTGAAGAGAGATTAGAGCATGAGATAAGGTTTTGGGTGTGATATGTCTAATTCGGCCACACATCCTAAGAAGTTATCTTACAGAGAGTGCAAACGTCTTTGTATTGCGTTGCTTGCATGATCTGTTGCAACTGTCGTGGTATACGTATGAGTTAACTGCTTGTCTGGACTTACTTACTGTTCGCATCAGCAGCACATTAACAACTGGCCTGCATGTCCTAGCCTGCATGCGGTAAAATCAATGGCACAGATATTGCAATCTCCCTCTCTTAATACGTGCACAACTTTTACTCAAAGACAAAGTATCGAACTACCTGAAGTCACCATTAACAGAAAGTCCACTTTGTTCTAACAATTATGACACTGCATTATTAGTAAATATGCAAACCAGTTCACTATATCTACTAGTCAATTCGCGAGCTAAGCCATCCCACCTAGTTGTCTGGATGCGGGAATATAATTTTTTTATATGTGCCGGGCACTGCATTGTACCTCAATGTTGTACAATGTGATTCTGAATATGTCCTCTACTTACCGGTGAGCCAGGCAAAGGACAGAGGGGTGGTGTTGGGTTTGGCTGGCCACAGCTGCAGCTGGCTCTCTCTCAGTGTCCCAGGGATCTCCAGGAACTGAACCGTCCCCGGATTGTACATCGCAAACAGCTGGACAAATTGAGGGGTCTCCCCCTTGGCTACGCTCCCAATGAACTGGTATATTCGTTTGGGAGTGGTTGCCAGGATGTAGTATTTGATCTCGGAGCTAGAGGGCTGTTGTGGGAATGGCTCCATGTGGAGTCCAGTGACGGCCTCACTGTGCTCTGCCAGATCATACATCAGACGATGCACCTGTAACACAACACATGGTAACGGATAAAACAGTACTGCGTGTAGATGAATGCACTGCATTATTGGTGAGCGAATGTGAGTACAAAATATGAGTGTGTGTACGTGTATTTAGACTACGGTTGCACGCAATGGACAATCAGATTACGAGTTATAATGTTGTTAGTTACCGGTAACTATTTCGCGCCCCTGCGGCACTTTTATTACGCGTATTGGCCAACCATGCCTTCTATTCCAGAGACGCCGTGCGTGTGGAAGGCAAACAAAGCTTCTGGAGAGGTTCTTTGTCAAGATAAACTAGGTACTCGGTCTTCTAGTAGGAAGCGGTGCATGACTACAGGGCCCTAGCTACAGCTCGAGCCAGACGCGTGCGCTAACAGTGCGAGAAGTGTCCAGTGGCCCCACCTACTTTCTCATTAGCGAGCCGCGCCGCCTACAACACACACTCTACTGCTGCTATAGCCTTGCTGGGATAGTCGTCGTTGTACGCCTGCGTTCGCCGTAGGAACTGGCTGCTGGCAGCTGCAAATAGCCTGTCTACTTCCGGTTCGTCCTCAGCAAAAGCTCCATAATCTGTGATCCCCAGTAAGCCGTCCATCCCCAATGCTGTGCATTGCTAGCGCCTGCACTGTAGTCTAAGATGGTTAGATGCAGAGATGCGATTGAGTGAGCCTCGGGGGCCCTGGCAGTAGAGCTCTCGCTGCACTCAAGACGCCGACAGCCAAGTGGCCTCGGCTCACTAAATCACGTAGTTCTCGCGGATCCGCATCTAACCTATACTTGAGGGCAGTGCCTGATCAATAATATCACCATTAAGCCACTCAAGCCCTACACCATTTTGTTGTCTTCTGCAAGTAGCACTATAGGCACGAAAATTACTGTTCTCAGGATTACAGCCTATCTCCCACACACACAAACCTGGTCGTTCAACCTACGTAGCTTGTTAGTAGTGCCGTAGCGCTCCAAACAACATTCCGTTGTTAATAACTTTTGCGAATGCAATTGGTGACCTTTGAACCCGCCCATGCGGTCTACTGCTTGACAGGCCACATTCCACCGATCTTCCAGCAAGGCCTTATTATCCCCATCCCAAAAGGTCACAACATCGACCTCTCAAATCCGTCTAACTTTAGAGGGATAACCCTCCTATCTTCCATTGCCAAGGTCTTTGAAAAACTCTTACTCCATCGTCTCTCCCCCCTCATCACTAGACTCCATCCACTCCAGGGCGGTTTTATTCCAGGCAGGAGCCCCACGCATACCGCCTTCTTACTCCAGGAGACCATCATGGCAGTTCAGGAGAGGAAGAAGAAGCCCTTTGTGGCCTTGACGTCAGGAAGGCGTTCGACACCGTGTGGCACGAGGGTCTCCTATACAAGTTAGCCATGTTCGGATTCCCCAGATACATCTGGATCATCCTGCACAACTGGTATAGAGGATTCATTTCAGCTGTGTTATGGAATTCCTCCACCTCCCGCTCATTCAAGATCAGTCAAGGTGTACGACAGGGAGCTATTCTTTCACCTTTCTTGTACTCTATATACGTCAATGACCTCCTGCATCAGCTCTCCGGCTCAGGCTATGGTGCTACTATTGACGGCAACTTCTGTGGCAGCCCCATGTACGCGGATGATCTGGCACTGATCGCAAACAGCAGCTCTGATCTTCAGGCTATGCTTGAGATAGTTTTCTCCTACTCTGTTCAGTGGCGTTACCAACTCAATGCCCAGAAGTCTGCCATCCAAATCTTTGGTGAATCAGCAGCAACCCGTGCCCGAAATCGCCCATCTCGTCAGTGGATCATAGGTAGTGAGGTCATTCCTGAGAAGGACTCCTACCACCACCTTGGAATTCTTCGCTCTGTCTCCCACTCATCCAACGCTCGTACCTCAGAGCGCTGCAGCTCTTCTAGAAGGGCATTCTTCTCCCTCAACGGTCTTGGATCTCGTGCAGGCTGCCTCCACCCACTCACATCCCTGCGCCTGTACAAAGTATACTGCCTCCCCATTCTCATATACGGGTGCGAAGTGTGGTCTCTCACACAGGCAGAGTTGATGTTACTCGAGAGAACCCACAGGAAGATGCTGCGCACGATAACAGGGATGCCCATCCGCTGTAAGTCACTGGCCCTCCAACAGTCACTGGGAATCGCGAACATCCGTACCCTGATTCACCGTCGCCAGCTGAACTTCGTACACTCTTTCTCCACTATCCCCCATGACTCTCTGCCTCGCATCGTCTTTGAGAAGCGGTTGTCTGGCCCTCTCTCCCCTCGTAGTTCTCTATCCACATTTCAATCTCTAGTTGATCTTTATGACCTGCCATCCATCCCCAGCATCCTAAGCAGCCAAGTCTCCAGAGCTCAGTGGAAGGGCCAGATCCAGCGGATTACCACCATCTCTGATTTTTCTATCTACGCTGATGAATGTGTCCATCTTCCTCTCTCCAGTTTTCTTCCTTCTCGTCTCGGGAAACCGTATCCTCACTGGCAGGTCACCCTAGGCTTCCCCATGCTGTCTAGAAAAAACATCTCCAGGATGAAATTACTGCTAAATTGCTTCGGGCTAGCATCTGACGCCTGTCGCTTCCAGACAATCCCCTCCTCTACAGACTTCTGTCCCCTTTGCAACTCAGCAACTGAGGACGCCTCCCACCTCATAGCGAACAGCCCTGCCCTAACCCTTGCACGTGGCGAATTTGACCTGCCCCACCCTCTTGCGTCCGTACGTGCCTCGGACCCGACCCGTTTCGTCTCGCTCATCCTCGGCACCGAGTGGTTGGACGACACCCCCGTGCAGCACGCGTGCATTGAATTTCTCCACCATATTCTATCTGCTCGCACTCGTCTTCTACCCTGATTCACTTCATCTTCGCCCGCACCTAGGGCTACTCTCCTTCAGTGGAGGTTACAAAGAAGAAGAAGAAGAAGAAGAAGAGGGTTGTTAGTCCGCGAAAATGGTATGGCGACTACTCATCTCTCGCCCCCGCAGCAAGGAGAACGTTCACAACTGCGGTCACTACCACCACCACCACCGCATTTGAGGTGCTACACTGCATCATCCCGGGCAGCTCCGCCTCACTTCAGCCGGGTCTGCATCGGAGGCTCTTCGCAAGACACCGAGAAGGTACGATGTGTTTATGGAGCTAACAGTGCCGCTGGGAAGCCGGTAGTTGAATGCTTACAGCGTGGGTTTTAGTCCCATGTACAATGCGCCCGCCTCACAGAACGCACTGCGAAGCGCTCTCAGTTTTCTTGCCATATCTGCCGCGCAGAGGTTCCCAAACGGAAGAGAGGTACTAACAATATGATAGTGCGTATTCCCAGGCATATTTTACCAGCATTACCAACGACTCAAAGGTTAACTACATCTGCAACTGACCCCCCTGCCCTATAAACGCCAGTCGAAGAGGCTCGGGTTCCCTGCACAGCATACTGCCTCCTTCGCCAGTTGACCACCCATATACACTCCTTCCTGAGCTTGAGCTAGCTGGCAGCCCCCAAGCTACTCATCCCAGTCCGCACAACCTACCTGCACAACCAACTGCAGCCTCATCATCGTCTCAAATGCACTATGAACAACCCACCTCTCCCTCGTCCTCAACTCCTATTAGATTGGTATCAACCCCAACCCCATCTGAATCATATATAGCAGGCAATTTTCAGTTGCAATCTCCTTTTATACCAGCTGCCACCATTGCTGACTCCTCCCTGCCGCTCCAATCCAACGAATCCCTCTCTGCCCCTACCAATGGGCAGTCTGCCCTCCCTTCAGCTTCTACCCCCTCCCACCGCCCAAATCTCCCAGGACTGTCTTGCACAAATTGACAGCTCACGGGAGCCACCACCCTTCTCACCGCTGGCCCCCTGCACTGTATCTCCTCCTACTGTCACTGAAGTTATGCCTACTACCTGTGTGCCACCAATGTTGCCTGCTAGTACCGCTGATGCCCGACCCCTATCCCTGCGCTCGATCCTGCTACAACCTCTAGCACCAACTGACCTCTCCGTTACTGCCACTGGCCCAACTGCTGTGTTAGAAAGCACGACTATATACCCGGGAAGGAACATGCATCACACACAATGTATCATCTCGTACCACGTGACTGAACATCATCTGGTCTAGTGTCCTCACACAATGTCCCAACTCTCCACTCGTCTTCTGCTGTTAACCCCCTTGCATGTATGAGTCCCACAGAAGGCTATTTATTCCACAACGCCATACTGGAATGCCTATGCTTCATCCCCCAACATCCATAATTCCAACTCTGTCGGTCAATCCCACCAACCATGCACCTCCCCTCCAGACCCAATAAATTATTTCCCAAATCAAGCAGGCACTCAGGGCTGAGTTTAATGCCAGAATCCTCTCTAGAAGAAGAGGTCTCACGTCTGTCAGCAATAGTATCCCTCACGCAACAAGCTCAGAGGTCTTCTGTTCAGCTGAGATGCCCACAACATTCCGCTCCTGCTCTTCGCCACGTCAACCAGTCCTCTCTCCACCAGCCTTCAACCAAATCTACCACTCATTCAAATAGTCATGTTCCCAACGAGTCACAGGAGAATTCGAGAGCTCGTACCCCCAACACTCTCCCATTTCGGGCACCAGAAGAAACGACTCGTCGCAAGTGGTACATAAGGCAGTATGTGCTCTCCTACCAAACTCCTTATGGAGCCACGTTACAATCAAGGGCTCACTCAGATAAAGAGCGTCCCGCTTGATGTGCTGGTATACCATCATGGCCCCGCCTGAGGTGCTAGAACAGATCACCCAAGTATGGCCAACTCTGGAGGCTAAGACCTCATGGTCTCTTCGCCGATCTCTGTCTGACCGTCCAGCCTACACGACTCAATCTCAACAAACAACGGTTACATCAGTTACATCCCACCCTGTACCAACACAGCAACCCAACCAACCTGATGCTGCTGCGACTCCTAATGTCCCTGCAACAGACTCTACTTCTTCCCCCACCACTCAAACTGAAAAATAACTACATCCCACCCCGTCCAAACCCAACAACCCAATCATACCCAAGCCACTGTGGTTTCCTCATTGGACCCTGACTTCACAGCCTCTGCTCTATCTGAGCAATCGGTTACATTCCTTCCTGGATGTGCCCTATGACCCAACCCGGTTGTGGTCCCTGCTGTTTCACAATCATACTCTCCTATTACTGCTCCTCCCCCTCACTCTACACTACTGTAGGACCCCAACAACTCGTGCAATAGACGCAGCCTACTCTATTCCCCACTGACCCCAAGTGACACTGCTCACCTCCCTTTTTTAGCCCACAGTCCTCCACTGTCAGTGGAGGACACCCCTCAACCCAACTAAGCGCTTCCGAAGGGAGCAGCACACGCGCCAATCTTCACCTGCACCCTAACCCCCCAAAATCTGTCTCCCACTGCACACAACAAACCAGCACAGCTATCCCCACCACCTCCACAGCACCCACCCCAAGCCTGTGTGATCCCTCATCCCTTGCAGCTACAAGTGTCAATTATCTGAAATTTAATCTCCGTGGCTTATCGTCAAACCAGCATTACCGTCAACACATCATCAACAAACACTCCCCAGATATCATCGCAATCTCTGAACTCTGGCTCCATGACTACAATCTGAATAATACCCAACAGGTCCACCCCAGATACAAATTTCTCGCAGCATGTCCCCCTCGCCGTGAGCACCCTGTATTTTGTACCCCACACCTACTCAGAGGCCACGGTGGAGTGGCCAACAGCAGGCACTCACGTCTCGACCACTTTGTCTCTCTTACACCCATTATGTCAACTCACCAAAGCATAGGAATCGAAATTAAAACCCCCCCCAGCTCCAATTCATGTATTCTCTGTGTATCTCCCAGGCCGATCTGGGAATCTCCACCTACTCGTGCGAAGAACCGCCCTCTATGGCAGTGGTTTGTTTCTGGTGAGAATATCCCTGAGAAAGGCAGCCAGCACCATCTTGGGATTCTCCGTACAGTCTCTCCATCGTCATCTGCACGCACCTCTGAGCACTGCAGTGCTGGGAGGAGCGCTTTCTTCAGCTGCAATGCAGTAGGTTTGGCTGTCTGCACCCCATCACAACGCAAAGGCTATATAAGACCTTCTGCCTACCAATCTTATTGTACGGAAGCGAATTATGGCATATAACAAAAACCAAACTCCTGTTGTTAGTGCATGCCCAGTGAAACATTTTGAGAACTATCGTGGGCCTCCCAATACGCTGTAATACCAAAGCTCTCCTTCACATCATGGGATCCCTGAGCATCGAGAGTATGATACACCATCGTCAACTGAACTTTCTTCATTCTTTCTCATCCCTCCAATCTGACTCTCTGCACTACCAGCTGCTCCTATCCCTGATAAGAGACCCTCCCCCTAGTGGCATTTTCCCTCGCCTCCAGTCCCTAGTACAAGAGTATGCTCTCCCACCAATGGAAGAGATTATCACCGGACAATTGAGCAAAGAAGGATGGAAGCGACTCACCAAACAAATTCTCCTTGCCAGATCTTATTCCGAGTTTGTTGTAGACTGCAGCCACCTCCCTCTTGCCCAGTGCTCCACTCTGAAGCTAGGTAGACAATTCCCCATATTTCGATCTGCAGAGGGACAACCAAGTGGAACAACACCCAGATCTGTCTCCTTGTAAATTGCTACGGGCTGGAAGCAGAGGTCTCCAGATTCCGCAGCAGCTCGCCCACCGACAGCTCCTGCAAACTCTGTGGAACTGGCTCCACCAAAGATCCGGTACACTTCATCTCCCTGTGCCCCGCCCTTTCATTAGTGCGCGACAGCTCTGCCCAATCTCTAGGCGTCATTGCTCCACTTTTAGCCACCGACCCGGTGAAGTTCACGGAGTACATCCTAGGGGTTGACTGGATCGATGACCCCGTTCAGCAGAGGAAGATTATTGAGTTCGTTTACTATCTCCATAGAGCGCGCATGGTTTCTCTTGCTACCACCCAATTTTTGCCCACTCAATAGGCTACTCTCCTTCAGTGGAGGCTACAAAGGAAAAGAAGAAGAAGCAGCTTGGTGGCTTTTTGCCAAGGATTTTGTACGTTTAATGTCTTCTGAGGTGCCCGATTCGCGACCCAGGCAACATAATGTGACCGTCCACGCGAAAAGGCGGTGTAAGTTGGCAATAAGTTTTTCAATATTTCACCGGATTCCGCGTTGTCGACCATTTAGCTGTGCTCGTTACAAAATCTGTAAATTTCATTTACTCCACACAAGCCCTATATTGTCACAAAGCACGAGTGATCTCTATCATGTGATGTGCAGCTATGACTCATTTCCTATGCATGTAAGACTGGTAGTAAATGCCCTCTATGACAGGTCCTCAGTTTTGAATCGTGACTGTATTTACTTCAACGTTCGCTGAACTAACCGGTTTTACAATGCTGCTTTCTCTACAGAATTCGTTTGCCAGTCATCACACTACACCAATCAAAACTCATGTCATAAGTAACAGTGGCGACAATATAGGGCTTGTGTGGAGTAAAATTTACATGAGCAAGAAATGTCAGTTTGAAGATGTAACAATCATCCCATTGTACTACTGCATCACATGCCCAGGTCATCCCTGTCCTGTCTCCTTGCTTTTAATGGCATCCTTATATTCCACACTTTTTTAATTCGCAGAATTTTATTTTACTTGTCTTGATTTTCTTATTCGACAAGACAGTTTTCTGTGTCTCGCTTGAGCCCATTTCTCATGAACGTAGCCAGGCAGATCATGCCGCCCACAAAGCAAATGACGGGGTGGGGTTCCATGAGCGAGTGCGCGCAACAAGCTAATAGTATTCAGTGAGTGCCTTTGGTATAGCAGCCCGCACAGTGCCTGAATTCTCTACTCTCGCCTCTCTCTGGTTGCATAGATTGTGACGGTTCGCGCAGGTCTCCTGTTGCGTTTCTTCGGACAAGGGGCGGAGGGAGAACAGTCTCGCTGCGGAGCTAAAGCTACAACATTTTGAAAATACTCAATATATAATGACATTACACCAGATGTTATGTAAATATAGTTATGTACTACGTGCAAGGTATATACCAGATTGCAATGAACCCGAGGGCCTTCACACTTGTAGTGTCCTGAGAGCCTATTTCACAGTAGAGTATTGTGCAAAGGTTCTAGCTTTAGCTTCAGTAGAATTATCAGTAAAAATTGGTGCACATAGATACCTCTTGCAAGTAGGCCTTTTTCTTAGGCAGCAGACTGTCCTGAAAATCAATGTCTGTCTCTAGAATAATGCCTGAAACATAAAACACAACATGAAACACAGTGGAATGTTACATGTCTAAAAAAGGCTAAGGAGTCATCTCATGTAACACTACACAGCAAAAGAGCACAGTCAGAGAAAAACAGAGCAAGTAAATAAGAAATCCCGCATATTTTTTTTTAAAAGGAGGAATATAGGGATGGAATCAAAGAAGAACAAAGAAAAGACAGTTCATTTGACAATGGCAGGGAAATAGCGCATAGGGCATTGCAGGACTCAATGCTCTCCATCATCTGTAAGTTATGATTACTCCGCAGTGCAAATAGGGTAAAATCCAGTCAAGGTACATATATAGGCCACTAATCAGAACAAGCCATAAGCTTTAACAAAGTACTTCCATATATGAAAACCAGTGAAATGATGAACATTGTTGGTATCACTATTTCTTGTCTTGTTGTGTGTGGTGGAAAAAAACCTGGTAACAGATAATACGACCGACACAAGCACGCACACATAGAATGACACACACACACACACTGCGCACTAATGGGGAAGAAAGGGTAGAAGGAGTAAAAGTAAGGTCTAGCATTATCTCTACTTTTGGTTTCGAATGGGTGTTGTACCTTTACGAAGAACATGCGAGCATACATATTGGGGTTGCCTCATAGGAAACTGGGAGAACCATGGTGAAAAAAACCGATGGTTATTTCATTGACAATCCCTAAACCATAATAAGGACTTCTTTCTTCAGGTGCCATCACCATCTTGTAGAACATTGCATAGTCATCTACTGCGTGATGAGAAGCCCTGGTGTGTAGGCATTTTTATTAGGAATTGGTGCACTTCAGGAATCATTCAAGCTGTAATACAGGTAAACTAAAGGCAGAGGTTGGTAAGAAAAGGTTTATACAGATCCTTTTCCATAGCAAACACAAGGATTTGGTGAATTTATTACACCACAAGAATGCAATCCCTGCTTGCATTGATAATACCCTTCCTTCCGTTAATTACCCGTATACTAGTACAATAGCTAGCAAGGTGTTGAAGGTAGTGTCGGAATAGACTTTGCTGCTGGTTCGCAGGAAATGACATGTGACTGCGCTAATTCCCCATATTTGTACGGTCCAGAAGGGCATGTAGTCACTGGCGATTGGGGATAATAGACATATTCGTAAGCTTACGGTTAAAGGACTATCACATTGTGTCAGTCTACAGCCAAATCATACTTTTGTCGCCACTTATAGCGATATAAAAGTGACTGCAGACTACAGAAAAGATCAAGGATGGAAAAGTGCAGAGAAGAGATGCTCCACATTTGTTGGACTGAAAACTAATCCCAGTATGACGGCAAAGTAGAGGAGGTGCAAAGTATCAGTGTGGTAGAGAAAGACCAGCCTCCGTGCGTTTGGCCATACCCACACGAGAGAAAGGCTAGCGGGACTCTGGGCAACCTCTGTTGTAACATCCTTGGGCAGAAGCCCTCCTCAGGGACCCTTGGCGTCAGCTGAGCTCGTGACGGGCTGCTTCGCCCGCCGCTTTCCAGAGCCACACAGCGCAGTGCAGGAGCAGTGAGATCCAAACATGCAGAGCGGTGTAGGAGCAAAGCGGTCCTAACCAAGCCCAGATCGTGGTGGGACTCAGCAACTGGGTGTTTCCAGAACCTTATAATACGATGCAAGAGCAAGGAGACCCAAACACTGCTCAACTGGTCAAATGATGAACATTTTGATAACTACATAGCTATACTTTCGATGTTGATGTGCAAAATTGATTATCTCTGTAAATGAGTATTAAACTGTAAGGAAATTTAAAGCAGAGACGAGGACCATGTATATGTATTTCATCAAATCATACACATTCATTTTATTCGAAGCTCAGTTCAGTACATTTTCAAGCAGGAGATAATAACCTCCAGGCCGACAATCTCCTTGTTTATGGAAATTTAATGACCTGGCCAGCATGAATCCAATGGTATCACTTTGGTATGTAAAATTATGTGCCAGCGATAGCGGTAATGTATGCCTTGGGGATGATGTATATGTGACCGTGCACGTAAAAACCAACCTTACACCGCATTTTTTGTGAATTAGCTTTTTTGTATCGTTGTAAAGCTTGAAATGTGCTTGATACAGCGCTTATTTTTGTATATTTTTTGGGAAAACCCTTTAAAAGTTAAGATTTTTCATGCGGCGTTAAACAAAACGCGAAACAGTCGAATGAAATTTTTCCGTATTCCTGTCCGCGCACGAATATGACGTTACGTAACGGGATTTTTCCCGGGAAATTTTTAGCCAACCAGAGAGATGCGGTGTGAGCGTGCAGTTTGACAGCAGACGAACGCTTCTATTGGCCATACCGGGCTGAGTAGACTTCAGGCTTCTCTGTGAGGCGATTCAAGGCAGAAGCAACGCTTTGACTTCTGTGCGCCATCTTTGCGTCAGCTGCATGTACCGTCGTGCTGTCACTCTTGTTAGACAGGTCATTCGATCGTGTTTACCATGAAAACTCGGCCCGTGTGTGCTATGGATGCTGGTTCTAGATTCAGTTAAAACAGGCCAGCTAAGCCAGCTACGTGACTGTTGAGCCGTCTGCCGTGTCCCGTCTGTCTAGAGCCGTGCACACTAGGCTGCCGTATCATAAGGCGGCAGCTTGGATGATATACTCAGCAACCAATCCAAGTTATTCAGGAACCTTTGTGCCCATGTGCGGAGTAAAGGAAAGTGACTGGTAGTCGCTGCATCTTTGTTGTCTAGTTTCGCGGGGAAAAGGGGTGTGTACGAGATTTCCGTACACTGAGCATCCGTGTCCGCTGCTCCGTTCACTGACTACCGCTACAGAGAAATAGCTTCTTTTCTGGCGAGAAGGCGTCCTAGGAGGCAGGAAAGTTACCAGTAGGTAGCTCTGACGGGAAGCTTTACTTATAGGCAAAAAAGTGGTTTTGCTTATACCGGTTGGTGTAGGCGTTATATTCACGCGTACTCGATAATTTAACATTGCGGCGTAAGGTTGGTTTTTGTGTGCACGGTTTCATATATACCAAGTTTCATCTCCATTTGAACTACTGTTACATAGTTTGATGAGTGATAAAAAGAAAAGTGCCTGAGGATTTTTTTCATTATTTACAAACTAAAACAGTTATGGTAAAACACCTGTGTACCAAGTTCAATCTCCACACGTGGTACAGTTACCTAGATCGAAGAATGTTTTTTTCATAGAAAGTGCTTGAGGCTATATGTAAATGCGATGAGGGTGATGTACATACATACTAAATTTCATCAAGTGGTGGGTTTAATGGCGACAGGAAAAATATTCTTCAACTTACAAAGAAGCATTGTTCACCACGATTTCTTTTATATAGGTTAGATGCCGAGTCCACGACATGAGCAAGGACGCTACTAAGGGCCCCCAAGGCACTCTAATGGGCGTAGTCTCCATGACGAGGCATCTAACTTGCTTAGAGCTATGGCAACGCATTCATTCAACGCGATTAAGAAATGGCGAGAGGTTTCTATGTATTCAGAGAGACTGTCCGCAAATGGCTTGAAGAACCAGTCAATGACGAAGCTACGCTAGAGTCTCTTCTCCAGGCAGCGAGCGACAACTACGAGTCCTCAAAAATAGCAGAATTTGAATTGAGACAAGAAGCAACTCTTGATATCTAATAACACCTTTGTCACTTGAGAAAAGAAGAGCAAACTGTCAATGACCTATAATAGTATTGTTCAATTCTTCTCAGGTCACAAGATGGAAGCGAGAATGTGAAAATCAACTTTTTAACCTTAGGAGACAGGGGATTAAGAAAAAGCTGGTCTCCACACTCTCCCCTCAACGCACATGGTAGCAAAGCTGTAAAAAGGGGTGCAATTCAAAAATGGAGGTAATGGATGCTCATGTGAAGACAAGGGGGTAAGTACATGCACAGTTTGAGTGAAGTACTGTTTTTCGACGCAGTGGAGTAAAATATATTGGGAAATTGGCATCTCCGAGATGCCACAGGAGGTCTTCATTTTCAACGCATGTAACTGCAACAGGTAGATCTGTTTTGCTTCACGAAGGCTGTGCACTGACGGCACGTTATGCAGACTGAACATCGCTGGCAAATCCCGAGTTGGGTCACTCCCACTCGCCAACAATGTTCAACATTTCTACTAGTAAACACAATATCCTCTGATAAGGAGTCTAACACTGCTGTATAAAGTTGAAGCGAAGTGGTTGCAATGCTAGTCTCGCAGCAGACTCTTCGCTAGTTGTGAACTCGCGCTCGTTCAGACATGGACGGGGCTGGCACGTATCTAAAGTAGATGTGCGCTAGTTAGAGTGTCCGTTATAAAAAGGTGTTAGCGAGTGCTTCGGTACCGGAAGTGTCCGATATTCGGAGTGTCCGCTATTCGGAGGTTTTAAAGTACAGTATCTGTTGGTACATAGCATACTGTCTCCGTTATACGCTAGGTGTCCGCTAAAAGGTTCCACTGTATCAATGGTGCAACACTGCCAGCCACACCCACTGCCGCTTTGCTCCTCCAAAGAGTAATAAGGAGTAAAGGCTGGCAAGAGCAGCTCGCATCACAGAGAAAACAAGGCAAGACATGAGATAGTGCAAATGTATGAGAAGCCAGGAACAGTGAGAGACAGGGGAAAAAAGGAAAAGATATTCCACACTGCATTTGCACAAATTAACACAGAACTAACACCTGGCTGAGTAATTTTGCACTTAGGTTCACAAGCAAATTGCCTCGAGTGTCCTCCCAACAGCCTTCACTGCATCTGTGCTGGCCTTCAGGGGCATATCCAGGAAGAAGGGAGACAGATTAACGTTTTAAGTGGCACAGAGTTCGCCCCATATCAAGCCACATTAGACGGAGAGATGAAAACGCTCCTATCACTGTGGATTGCCACTCACAATAAGCAGACTGTGGTACTGTACATTGCCAGAACTGTGAGCAGGTCAGCAGAACTGTACTTACCTTACGCTTTCAGCTCGTCAGTCGTGTCCACCAGGCAGCTGGCATGCAGAAGTATCTGCACAAGCAATCCTAGCTTATTTCCAAGTTGCACCTTCGAGCTATGAAGATTGGGAAGAGGTACAGTCTCGGTCAGTCACTGAAGTTTGCAGCGAATGCTGTCGAAAGGAGGAGAGACCTCGCGGTGGCTAGATCGGCGCATATCGCGAGGCAGCGTGTGTAAACTTTTAAAATCATGTCGGATAAAAAGAAGCGTGTAACAAAGCCACGCATGCGCACTTACACAACGTATGGATGGACGTATATAAATAGAAAATTCCGCTCGAACGAACGACTAACAAGTAATTTGGACTCCTGTGGTAGGAGAACCTGGAAACAGAGCACTGTGGATCATTTCATTACCGCATCACTGATGCTGTAAAAGTGCATAAAATGACAGTTTTGACATGAACCTTCCAACAAGGGACAACCTCCGAATAAGGGACAGCGGCCTGTGTACCAAGGTGTGCTTTATTAAGAGGTTCCACTGTATCGCTAATGTAGCCTATAGTGTCAAATATATGTGTGGACAGACACAAACACAGAACAACTAAGTACTGTACTCCTCGTTGTGCATCCACAAAAAAAAGACCAACAGAACCATTTTTGCATCAAAGGTCACATAATCACATACAAATGTTATAAGTTGTACATAAGTGAGCAGTGTTATGCCCGTTATGTCGGGAGTAATTGGCTGTCACTACCACAGTGCTTAACCGTTACATAAAGCGAATGATTTTAAACTCACAACCTCCTCACGTCTTTGTTATAAAAGCTTCAATTCATACCACAAAAGAAAACAAGCCATCCGAAATTTGAAACAGAAGTCAAACACTACGTCACTAAAAAATACTCATGTACTTGAGGCACTCGTTGTGATACTGCTACGATTCCTAGATGATTGCTCTTTGTCGCGCAGATGTAAAATTGGCACTTTGCTACCCAACAGTAGGAGTCAAAAATAAGTTTCCAATATGAGTCCGTTCCTTTTCGTTTCCGTTCTGTTTCCTACTGAAAAACCGTTCATTTATTGTTGGCGTTCCGTTCCGTTCCGTGTCGTTCGTTTCGTTTTCTTTTTCATTTCATGCGCGGCAGTTTAAAAGAGTGGATTTTATTTTGCCAGTTGCGCCTATTCAACTGAGGATGTCTCTTCGTGCAGCGATAAAGCAGCACTGTCACGACCAGGGTAAGCTCCGTCGCAGTGCCTGCAGCCACAGGAAGCGCCCTGCGTGGCGGCTCGGCCTGGCTGCTCACGCCCGCGCGTTCGGTGGAATGCAACAGGAAATCCGTTCACGAAAACCGCGCTGTTTACACTAAATCCGCAGGCAACAAATACGCTCTGGTGGACTGGGTTGGGGAGGAAAGCTACTCCGTGGTCCCATGCTTGAGCATCAACCATGGAGTTTACAGCATTGGCACTGTGGAGAATGTGACAACAGGCCAAGGAGTTTTCAAGGGAGTCATGTTTAGAAAATGATTGTTAAAGTTTCAATTGAGGTGTCAAGGACGCAGCTGGAGCGAAAAACAAAATCTTGTACTCTAGATGCATGTAACAGACGCGCTGTCTAGACGGACATGCATGACATAGAGTTCTGTCCTTTAAGGCACTAAGGAGGAGATGAGGAAGCTGGAGCTGGAGCGGGGAGCGGGGAGAGAAAGAGAGTGAGGAGGTTGAGAACTCTGCACTGATTGAGAAGCAACAGAAATGTGAGAGTATAATGATATGACCTGAGATAGTGTACAACTTACACTTCTATCTCAGCTGCTGCCAAGAACAGACAGGGAAAGAAGAGAGGGAGGGGTGAACAAGATTCAGTGACGAAGAAGAGAAAGAGTCAGGGTTAGTTGTTTAGGCTTAATGACACTTTTTCCTTCGATTTACAATCAACTGCAGAAGGAATGTTTAGAATGGTAATTATCACTGAGCATGGCGTCATGTCTGATGACTTTATCTTCTTTCTTGTGCAACGGTGCATGCTACGTTCATATCCATGCAGCTGCTGCAGCAAATGAAGGGGAAATGCCAGCTTAAAACCTGCAACCTCCCCTCCCAGCTTCCTCCGACCAAAACCCCCAATCTCCCCTCCCGGCTTCCTCCGACCAAAACCACCAACCTCCACTCTCGGCTTCCTCCGACCAAAACCCCCAACCTCCCCTCCCAGCTTCTCCTCCAGTAGCCTCACCTCCATCTCCCTCACATTCGTCTCACCTCCCAGCTTCCTCCGACAAAAAACCCTCAACTACTCCTCCAGCTACTCCCACAGTTAATCTCCCCACTATCCCCAAGCTATTACCTGCGTTGGAAACCCCTCAGCTACCAAGGGTTTGTATAGATAGTGTCACTGACTGACCGATACAGATCTCACTCAGTTGATTGGGGATGCTTTACAGCCTTCAAGCCCTTTGACTGTTTCGGAGGAAATAGTTGAAAACAGTATGCATTTCAAATATTGACACCATTTTACAGTGCCTCTTTATATAGGTTAGATGCCGAGTCCAGGAAACTACGCGAATTAGAGAGCCACGGGGGCCCTGGGCTGTCGGCGTTCGAGCGCAGCGAGGACGCTACTAAGGGCCCCCAAGGCACTTTAGTTTCCATGACGAGGCGTCTAACCGGTTTAGAGCTATGGTAACGCATTCATTCAAACCAAACGCGCATTGGAGAAATGGGACAGGGTTCAAGATCTTCGGAGACTGTCCGCGACAGGCTGGATGAACAACAAAACGACGAGGCTGAGCTTGAGTCTCTTCTCCTGACAGCGAGCGACGACTACGAGTCATCACAAGACCCCGCCCAACAGCCAAGTGCGCTTGCGGAACAAATCAACACTGCCAGCCACTCCCACTCCCGCTTTGCTCCCCCAAAGAGCGATGAGGACAGCAAGAGCAGCTCGTGTCCCGGAGAAAACCAGGCAAGACACGAAATATTGTGTAAATGTACAAACCAAACAATTCCACCACTTGCACAAATGAATGACACAGAACTAAACACATGGCTGAGTTCTTTTGCACTCGAGGTTCGCAAGCAAAATAGCCTTGAGTATCTTACCAACAGTCTTCATCACATCTTTGTTGGCCTTCAGAGGCATATCCGGGAAGAAGGCAGACAGATCAACCTTCTCAGTGGCACAGAGTTCGCCCAATTTCAAGTCACATTAGATGGAGAGATGAAAAGGCTCCAATCACTGGGGATTGTAGGCAGGCTGAGGTCATAACTGTTGAGGAAGAAGACCTCCCGTGGGAGAAGGGGCTGCTTGGAGATGCCAATCCCCAACAACTCCTTGACACAATGGTCTTCTATTGTGGTCTGTATTTTTCACCACGAAGTGGAAAGGAGCACCGTCAGCTACGTCGATCTCCTTGCCAAATTGAACTTGTGGAGACTCCCAACAGCTCTCATGTCATCTACAGAGAGGATCTCTCTAAAAAAACCATCCCCGGCGGGCTGAAGGGACGAAAATCAAGCTGAAGGTCGTCTACCACCACGAAAACATGCAGAACCCTCAGCGCTGCATTATCAGGCTCTTCAAGAAGTACCTGAGTTTGTGTCCGTCAGATGCTCCAGCCGACGCTTTCTATCTTAAACCTTCAAATTCTCCACCTGAAACATGTTGGTTTTCACGGCGTGCGATGGGCTACCATCCCCTGTCAACCACGGTTTCCCGGTCTGCAAGTCCACTGGAATCACTGGTTACAAAACGAACCATTCGTTGAGGGCCACGTCGACCAGCAGACTGTACTAGACGAGCAGCTGTCATGGAGCGATCAGGACACCACAGCACGGAAGGGGTCAGGAGTTACAAAAGGACTTCTGATGAACAGAGGCGTGCTCTCTCCGACATCTTCAACGGCACACGTAAGACAGCTCGAACAACGATAGATTACCCCGAATACTAGCCAGGAGAAAGAGTGGCTTAGTCTCAGCCCACTAGCTATCACATAAAACGGTGAAGCACGCGTGCGCATGCGCGAGAATTAGAGTCCGCCGGACTCTAATTCCCCCAATTTCGAACTCTCGCTCACGGACCAATGAGATTGCGCGATTTAAATTACTTAGCTCTAACAACA